ACCTGAGGTAGTGGCCGTGGGAATGGAGCTAGGAATGATACCTGGAATTGACAATCAGATGTGGAAGATGAGAGAGAGGGAAAGTGAGAGAGTGGGAAGGTGAAGCTTGCCTCTTGATTTTTTAGCCTAGGAGATGGTTTAATTCACCAAGAAAGGAAGTTGAGGGGGGGATAAATTTAATGTTGGTACTAGTATTGAGGGCTCCTTGGAATGTAGTCATGGTATTGCTATGTTCTTTAAGAAGCTTAGAATATGATCAGGAAGTGTAATTTAACTCATTGATATACCAGACAAACAAGAGAGAACATGCTGATTTGAGATTTGTACTTCAAACAAAAAAGGATTGTTTTCAATAAAACTTGGACATATACCTAATATTGAGAGGTATGACCTCATATCCCATTTCCAGCTCTCCTATTCCTTCATAGTCTCAGAGACAAAGGTGGTAATTCATCATGACTTAGGATATGTTTACACAATGCCAGATGTTTAGATAAATTCTTAAGAATTGGTATAATCCAGATATCTTCCAAAACAGGTATAGGTACAATCTAGTCATTGCCTGATTTTTTTTTTTTTATAAAGATATTCAGCATGGTGTAGATATAGCTAAAGTCATATAAACTTGGCTATAGAAAGGGTGAAATCTGAAAAAAAGATTTTGAGCAAATATCGTGTGCCAGTATGACATCTCTTTGTAAATATTAGCTAGTTAACAATATATTTTTATGGTATCAACCCTACATGGTAGATATTATTATCCTTGTTTCACGAATGAGGAGAACAAGAATGAGAAGCTAAAAACTAGCTCAAGTTTGTCCAAGTAGAAAGTGGCAGAACTTTTCTAATCCCCACTCCATACACGATCTGATCACATTTGGACCCGTGGTCCATTGATCCCTTTCTTTTCAGTGCTCCATCCCCCTTATGCCTTCCTTTCATTCTGTGCTCAGCTTAGATTCCAGAATCTGCAGCTCAAATCGCCCTCTTGCAACTCTCACCTTCCTAGCCCCTCACTCCTTCCATCAATCTCAAACAGCAAAGCTTAATCCATTATCCCAGCCCTGCCCATTTCCTTCTCATACGAGTCACTGATGGTGGATTTGAGAAAACACTTCTCTGTGATCCCTGGTCTTACCTCAAATTTTTGACCACAGACCTCAAGTGGGCCTGCTATCTTGCCCAGCAACCTTGCCTCATTGGTTTAGTCAATCAAGTCTTTCATTATTCAAGATAACCACGGTCAATGCTTCTCATTTCTCAAATTTCCTACCATGTTCCTTTTCTCCTTTCTGATGAAGACTTTGCTTCCTATTCAACTAAAAAAATAGTCACAATCTGAAGATAAATATGCCTATTCTCATGACCCAATTTATCAACCTATCTGCATCTTAACTTACAAACTCAGCCTTCCTGTTTACATATTTATTCATAAGAGTTCGTGCTTCTGCTAAGACCAACACCTCTACTTGTGCACTGGAGCTTGTGCCCTCTCTTTCTCTAGGCTTTATACCTGTAGTTGCCTTCCCTCTGCCCTCATGATCATTTCCCTCCTTTCTACTGTCATCAGCAGACAAATATGCTCTGTCTTCCATCTTAAGAAAACAAAACTTGCCCTCAACCCACATTCCCTCCCAGCTCTTACCATATGTTTTTCCTCTCTTTTAAATCAAAACTCCTGGAAAGGATTGCCCAATCGCACTTGCTGTCCCCACTTTCTCACCTCTAATTCTCTTTTTAACCTGTGCTAATCAGGATTTGTTTCCTAGTGCTTCAAAAACAATTTTTAAAAACCATACTTGTAAATGTCACCAAAAAGTGACATGCTGTCCAATCCAATGATGAATTCTCGGTACTACTTTTAAACTCTCAGGAGCATTGACAAAGTTGTTTACTTCTTCCTTCTTCAAACATTGTTCTCATGGCTAATGGGACAGTGTGATCTGGACTTTCTTCTTCACTGGTCACCCCTTCTTAGGATGTTTGCTGACTTCTCTATCCCTGCTTAACCCAAAGACTCAGTATGGTTCTCTGTTGTCTCTTCTTCTCCACCAGCATTTACTTCTGGATGATCTTATACAACCTGATAACTTCCAGATTTCTGTCTCTTGTCCTAACCTCTTCCATGAGATATGAGATATCAAACTACCTATCAAATATCTAGTGTCTGTTATCTTATACTAACATGGCCCAAACAGAACTCTCGATTCTCTCTTTTCCCCTTGAAATACTATGATACTTTTAAGTCTTTTTCAACACCTTAAAATAGTTCTTGATTTCTCTTTTGCCCTCATTTCCTATATCCAATTCATCAGCAAAATTTGCCTTAGTTTCATCATTTCCCTCTATCACCATCAATATGTCTAGTTTAAGCCACTATCCTTTCTTACCTGGACTATAAAAGCCTACAAATTGATCTCATTGCTTCTGCTCTTCCCTCTACCCAGCTGCCAGAGATCTTTTTAAAATGAATTATGCTTTGTCCTCCCAAAACTACTTACATTACTTTCCATTTTATAGAGAATAATATTCAAACTACTTATCGGCCGACCAGGTGTTACCTGATCTAGCCACTGCATACCTTTCTGGTCTTATTTTTCTACCACTTTTTCCATTGATCAATTGTGCCATGTCTACACTGGCTTACTGACTTTCTTTTAAGACACCAAAGTTAGTATTGCCCCAAGGCCTCTGCCCTTTGTAATCCCTTTGCCCAGGATGCTCTCCGCCAAGATATTTATAGAACTCTTGTATTCAGAAGTATAGAGCATCTTAAAAGCATAGAACACAAGAGAAGAGTCTTAAGGATCTTCAAAATCCATCCCTAAATTTTACAGCTGAGAAAAGTGAAGCTCAGAAAGGTCACGACTTGCTCAGATCCACATAGTAAGTGACCAAGCTGAGACCTCCACACCTCTTGCCAATTCTCCTTCCTTTAAATTGTTAGATGAGCGTTCTTATTGTTTTGGATTCACATTAACTGTGATTAGTTTTCAACTACAACACAATTTGTCTATCTGAATTACATGCTTCTGAATTCTTTTGATATATTCTTTCCTAGGGCAGTGGGCTCTAGTGAGTGAGTGGCATAAAGAAAAGAGGATGGAAACACAGGGCCGATGACATCTTAATTACATAGAAGTATTTGGCTTTTCTCTGTGAGATCAAAGTGTCTCACCCAGGTGTTCACTGAATCCTTCCGCAAGCCTTCTGAAGTAACTTACAGAGACCAATGCACAGATGAGAAAACTGAGTGTGTATCTCACATCAGAGTGACTATTCTGAAATATAGAACTGGCTGCTTCATTCCTCTAAAATCGCTCTAGGGCCTCCTGCGCCCTCAGGGTAAATTCCAATCTCTGTCACTCATAGCCCATGCTTTCATCGTTAACCTCAGCCCCTTGAACGCTCTTTCATATACCCAGTGCTATCACCCAGTGGTTCTCGATGCTTCAGTCACTCACGTCATGCTCATTTGTTGTTCACCTCACAGGTTTGTGACCATGCCATTTCCGCTCAGAGCACCCTTATATACCTGTCCTTTGTAACAAGAATCAGGTGTTACCTCTTTTATGCATCTCGTGAGGCCTTCCTCAGACAATGTCATTTGCTTCCCCAGGATCCTGAACAGTCTGTGTGTGTCCCTGTGAGAGCGTGGATCAGTGTACGAAGGAGTTTTTTTTGTTTTTGTTTTTGCACCTCTCTGCTAGATCATGAGCTCTTTATGGGCAAGAATGGGTCTTATGCTTTTTGGGCTCCTAGTTCAGGACCAGGCTCATGATAGTAACCGAGAACGTGCTGGATGAATGAGTGAATGAGTGATTGTGACTGGCATGCTGGTAGGGCATGAGAATAGCCTCCCCAAAGAATATTTTAATGGATTCTCATCTGCTGCCGCCTTGACCACGCCTCTTTCAATCCCACTTATATTTCACAGACTTCACAATAATCTCTCCCCAGGGTTAAAGAGACCAATTACTCTTGCAAGGCTCCTTCTGGCAGGCACTGCCCCCGGCTCTCTGAGGGCCTCTTGAGCCATCCACGAGGTCCCAAAGGTGAACACATGCTATGGGGTTTCACATCCATTTATTTATTGCAGTGCCCTCTCTCCTAGTGGTATGTAAGAGGATTTCTAGGTGGTCTGTGGATGTTTTCTAATAGATACAAGTTTATTTATATACAATTTAGGAAGAATCCCTTTGCCATTTATGATAGCAAATTACACTCTCTGTTTAAAAAAATTATTTAGGTTTAAAAAGTGAATTGATTTAAAGAGAAATATTAAGTTTCTATAATGCAGATATATAGCAAAAATCGTGGCGACTAATGTATTTCATTCATTTAAGCATTCATCCATATATTTATTCATGAGATGTTTATGGCACATCACATGTGACGCCCTGTGCTGTGTGAGGGGTATATAGATGATGAATATTTTCTGTAGTGGTCCTTGTTCTTTAAATTTTAGAGGCTTTCCTTGGACACTTTGCACATTCCTCTACTGGTTGCTGAGAAAAATTTGTTAACATCCAGATTGATGTGGGGTGACCAACTGGGTGGGAATGGAAAAAGGAAAATACATACACGTACATATGTAAATATACATATACATTTATGTGTGTGTGTACCTGTCTGTGTATACGTGCACTTATTGTCTCGTTTCTAATCAACAGAATATGTCAGGGGGGTATATGCACATACACATTCACCCCCACACCACTACCCAAGTGCTGGAACTGGAAAGCCATGCTACATGGTAAATAACTTGCCAGGAGTGGAGATGTAAGGTAGATAGTGAGAAATGGGAAGAGAATAGACTGGCATCAGATCAGAATTCAAATCTCAGCTTTGCTGCTTACTGTAAACTTTGGGAAGCTCTTCATCTGTCTGAAGATCAGACTGGATCAGTGACAGAAAATACATTTCACTGATTGAGCATACCTTATTGGAAGGCTTTCTTCTAAGGCAGATCCCGGTTGAGGGGGAAACTGTGCTTGAATGATTAATTATGTCTAGCAAAGAAGTGGGAGGAGGAATTGAATGATGAGTTATATCGACATGAGTGTGAGGGGGAGAAAGGAAACACTTGGCCATGCTGCACTTACAGTTTTGGGGCTGGATTACTTTGAAGAGAACCATGAGGTCTGACATTCTATGGTTCTACAAAAGTCAACTCCGTATTTTTCTTAACAGTAAGTAGTGAATGAGCGTAGGAAAGACAACGGTGGTGGGGATGGTGGGAATGGTGTGGAACAGTTTCAGTTTCTCTCTCTCTGTAGAGTGTGTGGTAGGCTGCCTCTAAGATAGCTCCCAATGATTTCTGCCTCCTGGCGTGTAATTCCTTCCCCTTGAGTGTGGGTCGGAGTTGCTTTGCTTCTAACAAATACAGTAGAACTGATGTGATATCATTTCTGAGATTAAGTTATAAGAAAAGACCGTGGCTTCTCCCTTCGGTTCATTCTCTCTCTCTCTCTCTCTCTCTCTCTCTCTCTCTCTCTCTCTCTCAAACAAGCTGCGAGCTGCCACGTTGTGAGCCACTTGAAGGACAGGTCCATGTGGCAAAGAACTAATGTCTCTAGCCAACAGCCAAGGAAGACCTGAGTACGCCAACTGCTATGTGAGTGAGTTGGAAATAGATCCTCCCTAAGATGAGCCTTGAGATAACTTAATTGGGAGATCCTGAGGCAAAGACATTTAGATAAGCGGAACCTGGACTCTTGACCCACAGAAACTATGAGATAGTAAATGTTGTTTTAAGCTGCTAAATTTTGGGGTAATAAATTATGTAGCAATACATAACTAAAACAGACTTTTAAGTGTGGTGATCACTCAGATGAGTCTTGACAAGTAACATGCAAGCCTGAGTTCCAAGCTCTACTTAGTAAGAATTACCATGGGCTCAGATCTTGATACAGCCACAAAAATGTCCTCTGCACTTATAGGCACTTGGGGACCGGGGCAACACTTTATCCTGAACTTCAAACTAGTATTTCAACTTCCTTCTGGGTATTGTCAGTCATCCTTCTGGGACTGTCATGTCCCACATAACATCTCTGAAATTCTCCCTAGACTTGTTCCTCCACTGTTCCCGATTTTATGTTTAAGCCCTAAGACTTGGAATCATCAGTGATTCTCCCCTTGTCCTCACTTACTGTATCTCATCTCTGTGATCCTCATTACCGCCACTGTCCAAGTTCACTGCTTGGATCTCACATCTGATTAGGGCAATAGACTTCTAAATATCTTTTTGCCTATCCCCAGACTTCCTCTTGTGCTGCAACCATTACAATGCCTTGCCCTTTTATCAATGAATGTTTAATATTTAATGTAGAAAAGAGCATGTGAAAAATAAAACTAGCCCTTGTCCCATCAGCATAAAATCTGATTTTAGTACACCCTTCCAGTCTCTGTCCATATGCGAAAATGTATTTCACTTAGTAGTTATAGTAATTTCTATAGAATTTTTGTTTTTTACTTTTAGTACTTCATTAAATAATTAGTATTTTCCTAACTTGCTATACTATCTTAGAAGTTATTGCTTTTATTGGTGCATACTATTCCATGGAGAGAATATATTCTAAGATACTTAACTATTTCTCTATTGGACATTTGAGTTATTCCTACTATTTGTTGTTGTAAGTAACATTGGATTAATCTTCCTGGGTAAATATTGTTTGCTTCTCTTCAATTAATTCACTATTGCAAGTTTTCAGGAAGAGAATTCCTTGGTCAATTATTTTGAAGATTTTTTGGTACAGGATAAGTATTCCTGATTGCTTTCTAGAAGGTTGACCCCAGGTGAGAAGAGTATAAAACAATATCTTTTTATTTTTTTAAAAAATTACATAATAACACACTTTTTAAAAAGTTCCCATGACAAATGACTCATTTGATAGCATCTAAAAGTTCACATGGTAATATATAAATAAGAGGGTCTAGGAAAAATGGGAGGATGCGAAATAATTTAAAGTTCAGGTTATTAAGACTGGAACTTTTTTTCTCCTCTATACCAATACTCAACAAAGAAACAAACCTCAGTCTCTTTATTTAACTTTAGGAACATAGGGGCCTCTTAATTCCCATATCAACTCTGTAAACTTTTGCCCCACTATCAGTATAGTGCCCTTCCCTAGAGGGCGAGAAATCTGCTGGGCGTGGATACCTAGATTCTTCTCTGGGTACCCGGGATGCCAGAATATCCTGCCAGCATGGCCCTGGACTGGACGTTAACTGCCATGAATAACAACAAAGTTAACTTTTTTCCCTAAAGCTTCTTCCATTTCCTGATTTTCCTCTTCCACTTCCTCCTCCTCCTCCTGCTTCTTCCTTTTAATATTGAGCTTTGCATATTGAGGAAGCATTAATGTAGTAGTCAGGAGCAAGGCCTGTGCAATCAGACGGCCTTTGCTCGCAGCTCAGCTCTTACACACTCGGGGAGCGTGAACATACATACAATTCCCTTTCTGTTCCTTGGTTTCCTCGTCTGCAAAATGGGGGTACTACCAATGCTTCCTCATGAAGTTGTTATAGTGGTTAAATAAATCAATATACATACAACAATTAGAACGGTGTTGACACAGGTGAGTGCTTATTGAGTTAAATAAATCAATATACATACAACAATTAGAACGGTGTTGACACAGGTGAGTGCTCAATAACTACCAGCAGCAATGGCCAAATTATTTCAGATTATTTCCTCAGAAAAGATTCCCAGAAGTAGCATTACTGAGAAACAGGATAAGAGTACCTCTTATTCTCTTCCCATGTATAAATTCCCCCCAAAATCATTGCACTGATTTCAACTGATTGGAAGTGACATTTTCAAGGACTCGCCTTACTGAGGGCTGAAGATGAAGGCATGGAGGGTAAAGGATTCACAGTGGCCGTGACACCGCTGCGGCCCTTGGCAGCCAGGCTGGCGTCTGAGGAAAATGGCAGTCACAGTCCCCAACATTATGAAGTCAGCTATGCAGGGGTGTCAGGCAACAAGCTGATACTGGAGAGGAGTCGAGGAGAAATGTGATTGCTTCCGGACATGGCCTGCTCTTGTCAGAAAAACTCCTAGGAACACGAAGAGAGACATGCTTAAACGGTTTTGTGAGTCATAGCCAGGAATTTGTGGAACAAAAGGGTGATCACGCCGTGGCCAAGCAGGGCTCCTGGCAGAGAGCTCTTTTATGGAAAGACCACGGAGGGCCAGAGAACACAGAGCCGACCAAGTCATTACCACCCTGGTGATTCCTGACCCAAATTCACAGGGGCCGTTTCCTCTTTCTTCTTCTTCTTCTATGAAGGACATTAATAGTTCAGTTCTTTTCAGTAGACTTAGAGGTTCTGGGTATCTAAGGGGCTTAAGAATGACTGACAGTGAGGTCTGCAAGGAACTTGATGCATGCTGACAAGACCCGACTTCCCAAAATAACTTACTCACCAGTTCCTTGTTGCCAGTAATTTAGCAGCAGTTGGGACGTTTTCGTGGTTGCCTTGAAAGTTAGGGCACTGGCTGATGCTGTTGTTGCTGGCAATGATGAAAAAAGGCGAGGCTGTGATAATGATGATAATGAAATTCGGAAAGAGAAACTAATATTGACTGAGTACGCCAATGCTGGGCGCCGGCATATGCTTTATGTCGATTTATTCTCATGACCCCACTCCCGGGAGGATTGGATATAATTATTCCCATTGTACAGATGTGCTTCACGGGGCTTAAGTATCTTGCCCCTGGTCACACAGCTGCTAAGTGCCCACCAGGGGCTTAAATTCCTATCCTCACTTCAAATCCTGGGCTCTTTCCTCTATATTACATGCAGTAGATGAAAATGCCACACACACATGCACGCACGCACAACTTACCTTGGAAAAAGACACCCATGTAACCATTACAAAGGGCACTGGATATTTTGTAACTGTAACACTAACTTTGCTGACCTATACTCTGCGTCTTCTGTTATAACAAAGCCAACTGAACATGCTCTTTCTGCCAGGCTTTCGAATATAAACCAGTTCCAGGTTTGTGTTAACAGTCTAGAGATTTAGGGACTAAAACAGCCTGATCACAATAGGTTAGACCATTTGAAGAGCCAGTAGTCTTCTCCCAGCAATCCCAGTGACATGGACCCCCACAAAGGGTGGCCATTAGATTTCTCAGCAGACCAATTATTCCCAGTTGATTTTCTTTTCTGAGCAGCCAGAGAGCCCTTTCGGTCTTGCCCACTGGGAGCGAACCTGAGGCTGCCCAGCTTGTCAGAGTGCCCAGCAAGTTTGTTGACCTGATTAACCTATGATAATTATCTTCTGAAGCGACACGGTGGGCAGAAGGGACCAGACAGACAGCCCTGTTGGCTCGGCTTTCACAGTTCATTTCCACAGGGCATTCCCCTTTGGGTCTCTGGACATGAGCTAACTTCATCTCCACATATTTCTTTCCTTTTTTGGCTTGTCCTCCCCTGCCCTCTGTCGTGCACATGCCAGGGTCACCAATTTCCTTGTATAAAGAGATGCAGGGTGGAGAAGAAAAAGAAAGGTGAATTGCTCATCTCCAGACAAGCTAAGCAGTCTAATGCATATTTAATAGGAATGCTTTGCAAAGCAGTAGTCATGTCTCCCAAGAATTATGGAGTTTTTCAGGAAAACAAGAGAAGGGAATTTCCCAAAATGCTCTTCACTGGAGAGAGCAAATGACATCTTTCTCTGAACTGGCACTGCCTCGAGGAGCGGTGGTTAGGACGCCTGCTTTGAATCTTGGTCTTGCTCTTTCCTCCTCTTCTCACTTTACACAGATTTTTTTTCACTTCTCTGAGTCTCGGTTTCCTCCTTTTTCGAGTGGGAAAAAGAATACTCTGCTATAGGGTTGTTATAAGGACAAAAGTGAGGAAAATGTAGATAAGACACTTAGCATGCTGCCTGGCACAGAGAAATATCCTGCAACGGAAAGCTCTGATGACATTGCATATTGTTGCCCAGGGCGTCACGGCAAAGGGAAAGTCCAAAGTACACAGCTAAGGGAAAGTCCAAGGTACACAGAAATTCAATCCCTAAGGCCAGGTACCACGAAGTAAGGTGGAATCGAGAGTCCAGGAGGCAGGGCAGGAAAGGATTCTTGAGAGGAGCCTCTTAAGAAAACTTGGTGGTGCCTCGTCTGCAATAAAGAAGAGAGACTGAGTGTGGCATTCGGGAGATGGTGTGTGATGGGGTCATTTGCTTTCGCCTTAAGAGCCTGAGAACAAGAACTTCTTTTCATAAATTGCAATGCCCCTTGAGAATTATGACTTCGTTCTTTCTTGCAGGAAGGCTCAAAGAGCAGGTATCAAATGATATCCATCCACTTGAAAACTCTGATTTGCCTCAGCAGGTTGCAGGCAGGGGAAGGCCACATCATGTTCTAGGCAAGCATTACTGAGGTCTGATTTTCTGTTCCTTTCATACTTATTCCTTTAGCTCGGGCAAGGGGACCTGGTGCCAGATCATGCAAATCATCTGTTACTAAAATTTTTAAAGAGAAAAATACAGTGGCACTGAATAAAATTTGGGAAAAAAGAAAACTAGTCAGCCAAAACCACTTTGAGTTTTCTTCTTTAATTTTCTTTATCTGAATCCACTCAGATTTTAGGTAGTCTTATTCATCGTGGACTTTAAAAATGTTTGCTTCTTTCACTGAAAATTCTATCATAGTCTTTTATACCTTCTCATAACCTTCATAGCTATCGTTGTAGATTGTTTCATAGTATTCCTGTCACTTAATATTGAAGAGTTAGGTTGTTTTATGTTTTTTATTTTTCTCATTCAGGCTAATGCTACAAAGAGCATTATCTTCTACAGATGCATTTTATGTTTTTTAATGATTTCTTTGGTTCAGAATGATTCATGATTCTTGACGTGCATTACCAAATTGTTTTCCAAAAGACTTGTACTAATTTTGATTACTCCCAGAATATTACAAAATCACTGAACTTGGATGTTTACTTATTTATTTATAATTTGTTAATTCTTTGTCTGATGACTTGTGAACATAGCCATGCTCCCAAGCCTTATTAACTGTTGTGTTTCTTCTCAAAGGGTCTGTTTTCACAAGAGCCAAACCTCAGTTGGGTATCCTAAGGATGGCTGTGACAGATCAGCCTTGGCTGTCCTAAGGAGTCTTACTGTTCATCCCACACTGGCCCCGCAAATCGGATCATCTGACCGTGACATCCTGCTCTCGGTCCACTTCCCAAGCACTGTGCTGGGCACTAAAGGAAGAAAGAGTGAGCGGGGAAAGGGAATGCTGTTTCGTGGGGGCGGAGGATGGGGATAAAGAAGGGACACCTCGTATGGGGTAGGGATGTCCCCAAGACCACGATGGGGAGCTCAGGGGCTGCATCTCAGACATAAAGCTCAGGCCAACTTTAGGAAGGTGAATAAGTTTTTCAAGCCTACAGAAAGGAAAAAGGCATCTTCCTCTGCCATCTCCGCTGGTCCTTCCACCTCTCTGAATTCTCATAGGAGTTGAGTCACACTGAGCTACTCATACTTTCAGGATTATAGTTTGCTCATAATGTTCCCTGCCGTTGAAGCTTCTCTTCATTCTTAGCTACTTGCTCAAGTCTTACTAACTCTTCAAAGCCGTGTGTAATTCACCTCTCTATAACTTCTCTGATTAATCCCAGTCTGGAGGTGGAGGTGACCCCAAAGGAGGATCCTTCTCCCTCCGTGTAACCTCCCACAGCACTTAGCATATATGACAGCCACAGCTTTCTTCACATTTTTTTTTTTTTGCCTCCTCCACTGAACCGTGAACTTGGACTCTGCGTGACTCCTCTCTGTGTTGCCTCTGCAGAGCTCAGGACCTGACTCAGAGGGTGCCGGGTGACTGCTGAGCCATGATAAACTAATTGAAAGATCACCTCTTGAAATTCAATCCCTAAGCACCATTGCTGGAACTCAGTAGCTTCTCAATAAATAAATACATTCCGAATACATTTAAATATTCAAGTTCTACCAGGTTTCCCTTCACTATTTTTTTTTTTTTCAGTGCTGTTTGAGGAGAAGTCTACCTCTTTTCACATGGGGTTTTCTCTGCTGCCTGAGAAACCTGAGCCTTCCTGGAGATCATCAGTCCACTTCACCAGCCCCACCCACCAACGGGCAGGCCAAAGCGTGTCTCCTTAACACAGAGCCCTTTTTTCTCCTTGTGAGAAAACCAAACCTCCTCTGCTATCTGAGATGAATAACCCCTGCTAAAATAGAACCCACTGAGTCTTCCAGCCAAGGAGGCGGCTGGCAAAGATGGGGGAGGTGAGCACATTCTGAAGCATAAAATTTCCCAGGATTAGGGCATTTCATTAGGAGACTTCTAGATGTGTTTTCCTCTCTAAAGACTCAAATGAAAGTCCAGAGAAGAATTTACCAACTACAGCGAAACATTCTTTACCACCAGGAGCTCTGTTGCCCATTAATTGTAAACAAGTTTGTGCGTTGATCTAACAAATGCCTATTTTTTTTTTTTTAGGTACACTGGTTTCATTTTTAATTAAAATCGTTGCATTGATTTGTTTTTAAAATAATAGTGAAGACTTTGTAGGTTGAGAAATAAATTATCATTTGAAGGATTAGAGTGGCTCTTCTTTTGATTTTAATAAAGATTAGAAGAAGAAAAAGAAGCACAAAGGAATGAATGCAGCTCCCCCAATATAATGAGTTAGACGGCCTCCCCCCCTTGATCAAACAAAAGAACAAATGTATTAAACAAAGAGTATAGATTTGACAAACCATCTCTGCTCTCGCGAAGGATTTTCAAGGGGATTTGGAAAGTTGTAGCCTGCCCATGTTCTGTTATTTCTGAGTATATTAAAGCCAGTACTCTTGTTAGCTTAGGTATTGTTTTTGTGTGTGCTTTGCTTCCTGGCAATAGAGTCTTTCTTTAAGAAAAGCAATTGGGAGATACCCTGGTCCTGGTTAATCTGCTCCCCTTTTCACACACAGACCATTGTCTGGATGTGCTTCCCAAGGGGCGCAGGCATTATATCCTGGGCCCCCTCTTCCAAGTCGGCAGCCTGCACAAAGGGAGCAGTGCATCTAGCGGACAGCCTGCTGGATTTCCATTTCACACTGGAGCTGTTCTGCTTTGTGCAAACCTCAATGCAAAATGTGCCGATTCCCAAGGAAAAACAATAAACAAAGCAAGGAACAAATTTGGTGGTGGTTTGTCAATGTTGCACTCAGACCCTCCACCCCAAAGGGGAAGAGTTTGGGAAGCTTTATGGATGACCGCATGGCTCTGAGGGCCCAGTGAAAGACTCATTCCCCTGGGGATGCTGAGCATCTGGCTGCACCTCTAGAATAGGGACTTCTGGACCTACCCCTTTGTCCCTGGGTCCACTGTGACTTTCCACCCAGATGCAGAGACAGGCCCAGCTCGCTGCACTCCTATCAGTCAACTGACAACACACCCCGGGAATTTCAACTGGCCTTACATGACAGTTGCCCTTTTCATGTTGATATTTAATTACTACCTTTTCACTAGGTTTTTTTTTTTCTTCCTGATTATAAACATAGCCTCAGCCAAACACGCACGTGTGCGCACAAACACACACTTACACACACACACACACACACTGGATCTCCCTTCCTACTCCTTCCCATCTAAGTTTCTCAAGACTGCTCTCTACTTGTCTCTCCACCTCCAGCTCCTGCTTACCTCTCAAGTCGCTGCAATATGACAGCTGTCTTTCACCCCCTGTCTGCGATCCCAACCTGGCTGAGGTCATTAGCAACTGCATGTTTTTAAGATCTTATTGTTATCTATCTATCTATCTATCTATCTATCTATCTATCTATCTATCTATCTATCTATCTATCTTTCTATCTATCTATCTATCTATCTATCTATCTATCTATCTATCTATCTATCTATCTATCTATCTATCTATTTATTTTACTGTCTCTTCTTCTAGACCATGTGGGCTTTCAGGATTGGAGTCAGATTTTATTCATTTCTGTGTTCATGACATCATGATACTCAGGATCTGTTCGACAAAATGAACTTATTCCAGAATGATCACATGTGTCACAGCTTCTCTTCTTAAGTTACGAAAAGAAAATAACATGTCCCATGCATTTGCCTTGTACCAGGCTTGGTCCTGGGAATAGTACATTTTCTCAGTCATCTATACTCCAAAAAGTCATTTTGTAGATGAAGTAGTTGAGGCTCAGAGATCAAGTAACTTGCTCAAGATCACAAGGCCAGTGAGTAGAAGATGGCAAATCTAGGGGGCTGTGTTTTAAGGGCATTTTTGTTTTTTGCCTGGTTTGGATTATAATCCAAATGTTGCAGGCTTGGAGACCACTTCATATAAATGGAAGACTCATGTGAGGTAAAGGTGGGCTCCCCCACAGCTCTGGAAGTGGGAGCAATCTCCAAGCTGCCATTATGGCTTGAGAGATAGATTCACTTTTGAGAACCTCATGACTCTCACAGCTGGAGAAAGAATAGTCGTGTCCATTTTACAGGTGGTAAAACTGAGGAGATGACAAATAACATATAATGAGGTTTATGCTCTGCTACGGCAATAACATCTATTAATTTATAAATTTCATTTACTCAATTAATCTTCGGAATAATCCTATGCAGCAGGTACTATTAATAGTCCTATTTTATTGACAAGAATACTGAGGAACGGAGATGTTAGGTAACTTACTCAAGGTCATACAACTGGTAAGTAGTGTAACTAGGATTTGAACCCAGGCTTGTATAATTCCAGAGTCTAGTCATAACCACCATATTATCCCAGGAGGTAGTTCTTTCTTTTCCAAAAGTCTGAAGTTTTCACATTTGCCTGGGGTGGGATTATCTTGAATTCTTAGCTTGGATTCTCTAAGCTAAACATGCTGAGTTTTTTTGATCACTTGACACTCTACCATCATTTTGACAGTTTATCATCTTTTTTGCTCTTTCGAGATATCTTCAACTTTGTCCATCCTCCTCTCACAGCATGACCCCCCAAATGGAGTAAAGTATCCCAGGAGTCATCTGATGAAGCACAACTCACCAACAGGCCAGTTTTTGTGGTCACATCACATATAGTTTATGCCGTTTATGCCATTATTCCTGCTATTCATACTTCCTGAGTCTTTTCTCAATGAGCTGCTGGGACACTGTCCCATGGTTGTTTGATGGGTATTTGGAGCATAAATTCATGCAGTTTTAAAAATTTATCCTTAATTAATTTCACCTTATAAAATGCATTTAAACCATTTGTGCATGTACTTTCTTCAAGTCAGGTACCATTTTGGCGCCAAGAGATGTTGAAAAGTGATATGGAATCAGATAACTTTGAATTTGAAATCTAACTTACTACTTATAAATTATTTGATCTTGGGTAATTTCCATGAACTACTCTTGCCTCAGTTTTCCCATCTGTAAATTAAAGCTAATGGTATTGACTCTAGAGGACTGGGAACTCACTGAGAAAAGAATTTTTAAAACTATATTCCTATTATCATTATAATCATAAATTTTTCAAGCCTTGCTAACCATCCAAGAATCTACTCAAAAGTCATAAAAACATATTATGATAATGTATATTTTCTTTGCTTTTACTTTTGTTTATATTCATTACGTTTGTTACTAATGTAACTATTTTTTATAAGTTATCCAGCAATGTGCATTTATTTCTTAGAAATGTTTACTAATTGTTTACTGAGAAACTAGGAGTGGAATATGAAATACCTATTCCTAGAAATGCTTCTGGTAACCTTTAGTGTTTCTTTAAAAACTTCAGTAATGTGGTCAAATGTACAAGTAGTAATAGGGGAATATCACCTTATAGAGATATAATTTGAGCTGGAGCATATCATACAAGGACCCTGATGATTTTATGAACTCTGTCTCTGACTTAGAGGCAAGGGTCATCTCTACTTTTCAGGCTTCCTCTGGGGGCTCAGCTGCCAGCCCTCAATTGAAACTATGAGAGATTAAAAGAGAACAGAAAAAAAAATGTGTTTTATTCCTGATCCAGATCTTGTTCAGAATTTCACCTTGATAATACTGATCTCTCTAACCATCTGAATTACTAAATTCTGGAAACTTTTGCTAGCCTTGACTTTCAAATTCATCTCAATCTTTCAGCATTTTATTGACTTCTCAGATTCTTCCATGACAGGCTCTGATCACTTATATCTGCCTGAGCCTTGCAGGCTTAGAGGACTTCTAGACTTGCCCATTGCCTCTGCTGACATCAGATGCCTGCCTAACCCCCTCAAGGCTCCCACAATCCCCTGGCCTACGGTTTGAGCTGTAGATCAAACTCTACTGTTACCAGTGAGGAGAAAGCCACAAATGTATTCTTAAAAGTCTCCATTAGGTCATCAAGATGAGGAAAGTTCATAATAAAATATTTTTTTCTTATGCTCAGGCAATGGAAGCCTACCCAGATGATTAAAACTGGATATGAACCTAATGTAGGAGGCAATAAAACTCAGTGGTTAAGATGATGAACTTCGGAGTGAGATGACCTGGGTTTGATTCCTACATCTTCCCATTCTTGGTATAATGTGGGGGTAAGATATTTCATTCCTAAGTCTCAGTTTTATCACCTGTAAAATGGAGAGAATAATTTCTATTTCAGGATTATTGTAAGGATTCCATGGTGTAATGTATAATGTGTTTATTATAGTGCCTTGTGCATAACAAGCACTTTATAAGTACTAGCTCCTAGTTTTCAATGTGATGGCACCCATTCTACAAAATTCAGCCTATCTGACCCCAAAGTCCATGCTCTTTCCATTGTGTCAGGTGGCTTCAATTTATGACTTCAAATCTATCAGTTGGTTCACAAGGTCTCTCTTCAGTTATGGACTGTCTATTGGATCTTTTATTTCAATGACTATATATTTCATTTCTTAAAGTTCTAATTCATTCTTTGTAAAGTAGCGATTCTTTCTTCAGAGTGCCTCATTTTTGATTTCAGAGTGCCTTTTAATTGTTTAATATGCTTGCTTTATGTTAAATTTCTCTATGAAATTGTTTGGTTATCTAAGTTATTTAGGACTTAAGCCTACCATTTTTGTTTCTGCTGACAAATCACTCATGATAGGTCACTTTTCGGATATGTTTCAAGTTTGGGATTGAGAGTTCATCTTGAAAGGATCTTCATCTGTGGAAATCATATTCATTTTGGATTGGGGTATTCGCCCATAACTATGGTGATATCTGCTTCTTCCAGATGCTTCAAGGATATAAGAAGCCTAGAACCTATTTTGTGTGATACTGCAGCTTGGCGGTTTCAGGATCATATGAGCAGTATAAATTAGATCCCCAGATATATGTTACAAGTGGGTGGCTATAAATTTCAGGGAAATATTTTCCTAACTGTAAGCTATTTAATGGAGACAAGCTTTCTTGTCATCTCTCTTTGGGGACAGGTAGATTATTTCTAGTTTATCCTTTTATTGCATGTGATATTCTTCATGCACTTCATTTTTTGTTTGTTTTTTTTTCAA